ATAAAAGCATAATTATAAGGCTACGAAAACCAAACAAATTTTATTTTCTAGCAGTTATACACTTATATAACCATATTAATGGGTAAAATATTCAGATTCAGATTCAGATTTGACAATAAACCAGGCCAAATATTACACACTGGCCCTTTAAATGGTGCCACATTTGTAAGGAACATGCATTTGTGGGATGAGCAGCAGAGCTGAGTATGTGGGTTGCACCCATGAAAAAATTTGAAACCTCTCTGCCAGTGCCAAACTTTTTTTTTTTTTGCTGTGAACTCTTGTTTGGTGTTGTTTGGTGGATTGGATGATTGAAGTCTGAAGAAACCAGACATATTGGCAATTTAACATTTTATTCATTTAACAAACAGGAGCCTCTCTCTCTCTCTCTCTCGATATATATATATATATATATATATACATATATAAAAATATATGTACATATTATCGAATATTAGGATACAGAGAAATATAAGATCTCGTTTCGTCTCGTCGTCCTCCGCTTATCCGCGGGGGCAGCAGCCTCAGCAAAGAAGCCCAGACAGTCTTTTCCCCAGCCACCTCTGTCAGCTCTTCCGAGGGAACCCCGAGGCGTTCCCAGGGCAGCCGGGCGATGTAATCCCTCCAGTGTGTCCTGGGGCGGCCCCGAGGTCTCCTCCCGGTTGGACATGCCCGAAACACCTCCCAAGGGAGGCGTCCGGGAGGCATCCTTACCAGATGCCCGAACCACCTCAACTGGCTCCTCTCGATGTGGAGGAGCAGCGGCTCTACTCCGAGCTCCTCCCAGATGTCCGAACTCCTCACCCTATCTCTAAGGCTACGCAACCCTTTCGTCCACTGGGGTGAACCCCAATGTACAGGCAGAGAGTCTGGGGGCTATCAGAAAGCCCACCCCGGCCCTCCGCCTGTCACCCGGAGCAACTCCAGCAAAGGAGAGAGTCCAACCCCTCTCAAGGACTTGGGTTCCAGAGCGTGTCGAGGTGAGGCCGACTATATCTAGCCGGTAGCGCTCAACCTCTTCCACAAGCTCCGGCTCCTTCCCCGCCAGAGAGGTGACATTCCATGTCCCAAGAGCCAACTTCCGTAGCCGAGGATCGGACCACCAAGGCCCCCGCCTTGGTCTGCTGCCCGATCCACACTGCACCAAACCCTTCTGGATCCCTTTGCGGGTGGTGGGTCTGCAGGGGGATGAGCCGGACCCCATGGGCGAAGGCCCGATCACCAGGCGCTCGCCCATGGGCCCCAGCCCCTGGCCTGGCTCCAGAGCGGGGCCCCGGAAACCCACAGGGCCGGGTACGCCAACTCTTGCTGTTTTCCATCATGAAGGGTCTTTTGATAAGATAAGATAAAGATAAGATCAACAT